ATCTATCTATCTATCTATCTATCTATCTATCTATCTATCTATCTATCTATCTATCTATCTATCTATCTATCTATCTATCTATCTATCTATCTATCTATCTATCTATCTATCTATCTATCTATCTATCTACCTACCTACCTACCTACCGACCCTACCTACCCTACCTACCCTACCTACCCTACCTACCTACCTACCTACCTACCTACCTACCTACCTACCTACCTACCTACCTACCTACCTACCTATCTACCGACCCTACCTACGCTACCTACCCTACCTACCCTACCTACCCTACCTACCTACCTATCTATCTATCTTCATAAACTCCCTATCGTCTCGGTTGAGTGATTTAGTTAATAGTTTCACAACTGCTTAGATCATGGATGTTTGTGTTCCTTAGGCATGAGAGTAAACACAGTCAGAAAAAGTGGTCGTGGCACCAGACTGACCAGAGTGTGAGAGAAAATAGCCTGGGTACGAGGTTGAGACAGTGGGTTGAGGCAGTTAAGCTACGAGAAATGAACAAACAACCAATCAGAACCCAATCTTCTCCGTTAAGCCAGTTTTCCACTTCAAGCGTACCGTACCGAAACGTATCAAAAACGTTTTTAAATTTCAAAATTTCGTGAATGTTGATTGGTTAGTACTTCCGTCATACGCCAAAAAGTTGACTTGCGACGAACCTTTTATTTTGATACGCGAATACACCCGGAAGTACGTGGTTTATAAACCTCTTTTCAATCTGCGCATGCTCACCAGTACGTTTCAACATGAGCTCCACCTTTGAATTTACTATATGAGTAAATTCTTAAACACGTCCGAATTTATCATTATGATAAATGCATTATAAACGCATAAATGCATAAATAACAAGCATTACACAGGATTTCTTGTTATAAATGTAATGGAGTTTTTCACGTTTTTTAAAAAAATAGTTTTTAAAAAAGTTTTAAAAGGTTTTAAAAGAGTTTTGAAAAGCAAGAAAAGTTTAAAAAGTTAGATTTTTAAAAAAGTTAAAAAAATTTAAAAAGTTAAAAAAGTTAGGGGTTAGGGGTTAGTGGTTAGTGGTTAGGGGTTAGGGTTGGGGTTGGGGTTAGTGTTAGGTGGCGCGAATTTATTATTATGATAAATTCAAAATTTGCCACGAATTTATCATAATGATAAATTCGGACGTGTTTAAGAATTTACTCATATAGTAAATTCAAAGATGGAGCTCATGCTGGTACGTTTCGGTACGATACGGGCGAAGTGGAAAACCGGTGTCACAGAAGATTCGCCCCCCCCAGGAGATTCGCCCCCCCTCTCAAAAGGGGGGCGATATTCCTAGGATATTCGCCCCCCCCGGGGCGAATCTCCTAGGAATATCGCCCCCCAGGGGGCGAATCTCCTAGGAATTTCGCCCCCCCATATAAATTTTGAATTTTTGATCTAAAAACAAAACGATTGCAAGTTGAAAAGATTTATTGTGTGATTTATTTATTTATTACAAGAATACAAGGAGACAAAATTACATACACATTCTAGGCTTCTTAGCAGCTGGTAGTGTGCACAGTCGGCATAACCACTGATTTGAGGTACTTAGACTAGTGTCATATTCTACACATCTAAAGTGGAACCATTGCCCACAGAGATCGCATAAAATCATGTTGTCGTATTCTTCTGGCAGTTTACATTCACATAACATATTATAAAAACAATCGCTTGCAAATTTTATCAATAGCAGTGTTAACAATAGCCGCCACAGTAATCACTTGCTAACAATAAACTATAGGATTAATAAAAAATCTATGGAATGTATTGGGAAGCGTATTAACTAAGAAAATTGCATGATATATATGTGGCGTGGTTTATTTAAATAATTTCATGATACTTTGTCTTTGATTTTATTAGTGCCTTAAACATTTGAGAATGTAACTAAAACTAAAAGCTTTGTTGTCTTTTTTGAAACGTATATTATTGGAGTATTGCCTGTTGGCAAGTTCTACCCTTCGCTTGTGAGTCTGAGATTTACAAACTATATTGAAATAATGCAAGTAAAAAATAGTGACGACTTATAAGCCATAATTTTCCGATAACGACAAAACGTGGATGCAAAACAATACCAAATAATTACAATAACCACCACGGTGATTACTTTTTAACAATGAGTATAAGGATTAACACTGAAAATGCAAAATATGCATGGTGTGCTGTGAAGCGTCATAAGTCCTATTGATCTACTGTAACTGTGTAAGCCCTTTCGATAAATGTAATTGTAAATTTGTATTCTTACAGGGCTTGAAATAACGTTCCCAAAGTTCCCCGTGACTTTCCCTGCTTTTTTCAGGTTGGAAACCGAAACCCTGCTTTTCCGCTGATCATAAGCAATTTCTTGCCGATCATTGCCGATCGGTGATCGGTTGTTATTTCAAGCTCTGTGTTAACAATTTTGAATTGATACTGATTTCAAATGATTAAGGGGCCGATTACATGGAGAAATTTCAACCCCGGGGTTGAACTCAGCCCTGTTAACCGGGTTGAAATTTTTTGCGATTACATGGACGATTTCAACCCCGGGATTGAAACGCTATACTATACGTTCTCGGCATCGATTCTCGGAAGTAAAAAAGCCTTTATTTTGTTTTTTTGTAATAAATAGTCACTACCACGTATACTCGAATAACTCATGATAATTTCAGCACTGGGTTGAAACGATTACATGACAAAATTTTCAACCCAGGGCTGAGTTCAACCCCGGGGTTGAAATTTCAACCCTGCTAGCTGAAGCAGGGTTGAAATTTCAATCCCGGGTTGAAAATTTTGTCATGTAATCGCGAGTTTGATTTTGATAGAGTTTTGTATTACAGGCAGGGCTGAAATTTCAACCCGGTAAACAGGGCTGAGTTCAACCCCGGGGTTGAAAATGCTCCATGTAATCGGCCCCTAAAGCCATGTAATAATTATCCCATGCAACTGTTAGGAAGGGCGAAATTTTGAACGGAGGCCGAAAATCCTAAAGAAAAGGTGAAGTTTCTAAAGGGGGGCGAATTTCCTAAAGGGGGGCGAAATTCCTAGGATTTTCGCCCCCTGGGGGGGCGATATTCCTAGGAATTTCGCCCCCCGGGGGGCGAAAATGTAGGGGGGGAGAAAATCCTGGGACACCGACTTTATTCCCCAGGATTATTCTTCCGACCTGAGTGTTTCATACCATTTTATACATCTCCCTCCCAGTCATTTATTTCGGCGAAACGTTCTTCATATCGCCACGGCACACAATAAATAGAATTAAAAAGTCTTGCACAAATATATTATATACATTAGTAAATCATATACCCTCTTCGTGAATTCCACATCTGAATACGCATTTTGTTCGATCCTAAAAGTAAAACATGGGAAAGGTAAGTATAAACTTAATTGTCTCTGAATATTATTGCTAATACATACATACATACATACATACTTTATTGTGTTCCCTAAATAGGGATTTTCAACACTGATTTACAAAAAATAAATGTTGTTCTATTTACAAGTTTTAGAATCTAGAATTTAAATTAAGGTAAAAAGGTAAGACATTTGTATAAAGTTTAACAAGGTAAAATTATCTACTTATATATTTGTTCTAGCATGCTTCGCTTCAGTTCGTTTTTGAAAGTTTTTAGGGAGTCTAACTTTTTGTACTTTATGTCCAAATCATTCCAGAGTGTAACGCCTCTATAATGAAAGGACCTTTGACCTGCAGAAGTTTTGTACAATGGTATTTGCAGTGAGTCATGGCTACGTGTATCTCGTTGATGAATGTCAGAACGTTTTGTGAATAAATCGCTCAAATAATGTGGAGCAAGTTCATTGACACATTTGTACATCATAATAGCCTCTCTTAGTAGTAATTGTCCTTTACTGGGAGCCAGTTAAGTTCGCGTAAACCCGGCGAAATATGGTCGAACTTTCCAATATTTGTTATTATCCTGCATGCAAAATTTTGTACCAACTGTAGTTTCTTAATGTTGGTAGACGAAGTGTTTGACCAAACCGTTGAACAATAGAACATTTTGTTCATTACAAGTGCCGAGACGATGAGAGTTAAAGCTTCTTTATCGAAACATTTTTTGACTCGGTTTATTTGGCACAGGGAATTCATACATGAGGAAACCAGGTTGGTGATGTGCTGGTCATATGTCAAATAAGAGTCGATTGTCATTCCTAGATCTTTGGCAAAGGAGACGGGGGTAATAGTCTCGTTGAGGAAGTTTATGGTCATATCTACGGGAAGTTGTTGTAGGTTTTGCCGTGTGCCAATCAGCATGTATTTGGTCTTTCCCGGGTTAATAAGCAATTCATTTTCGGAACAACTGTTTGCAATCAAATACAAGTCTTCCTCAAGTTGTTGCTTTAAACAGTCCACGTTAGCCACAGTGAAAGATAGTAATAACTTGGAGTCGTCCACGTACGATTCAAGTTTACTATGGTGGACTGATGAGGGCAAATCGTTAGTATAAATACTAAAAAGTAAAGGTGATAAAATTGCACCCTGTGGTACACCATAAAAAACAGGGAGAGGAGTAGACACAGTAGATCCAATTCTGACTGATTGAGTTCTTCCGGTCAAGTAACTCTCAAACCATTTTACAACGCTTGGAGAAGCCCCGACGTTGCTAAGTTTTGTAAGGAGAAAAGTATGATTTACACTGTCGAAAGCTTTAGATAGATCTATTAGAATCAGTGCAGTAACTAATTTCCCATCCATGGCCTTTAGGATAGTATCTCCGGTCAAAAGATTCAATGTTTCGCATGAGTGATGTTTCTTGTTCCCGCTCTGGTGGGTTGACAATTTTTTGTTCTTCATTAGATACGAACCAAATTGATTCAAGGCGACTTTTTCACAAATTTTCGAAAGAAAGGTAAGGAGAGAAAGTGGTCGGTTATTTGATGCTTCCTCGTGGTTTCCATCCTTTAACAAAGGGATAACTTCTGCCTCTTTCCATGCTATAGGGAACGAAGATGACGACAGTGAACAGTTAATGATATCGGTGAGGGGCCCAAGAATTACCGGTAGGCTGTGTTTGATGACACGCATACTCACTTTGTCTTTGCCGGGTGATTTGTTTGACGGCATAGCTAATATGATGTTCCTTATTTCTGAACAAGAGACTGGGGTGAAACTAAATCTATCATTTTCTTCAGGGTAGCTGTTATCTGTGCGATTTACGTCAGAAAGATTCCGAGCTGGATAAACACTAGGATCTTGTATTAGTGTTGAGGCTTTCTTTGCTGCATTCACACCAATGGTGGAAAAGAAATGATTAAACTCTTCGGCCACTAATTTCGGTTCCTTACTGTAGACCACCGACTCTCTTTCCCTATACGCTATATTTTCTTTAATTACCTTCCAAAGTGACCCAGTATTGTTTCTGTGTTGCTGAACTTCCTTGAGTACATATTCTTTCTGTGCATTAACAAGTGCGGTTTTTGTAAAATTGCGGGCCTCTCTGAAATTAAGCCAATCATAATGATCACGTGTTTTCCTGAAAAGACTGTGGAGCTGGTCTCTTTGATCATGGATGCTTTTATTTCCGGGGTGATAAATGGGCAAGATTTTCCGCGTACTTTTATGGTCTTTACTGGGGCGTGTTTATCCAATGTATTTAAAAATATTTCATTAAAAATGGTTAGTTTTTCATCAACATTGTCCATTCTGAAAATGGAAACAAGACGATCACGGTTGGATGCCAGATCGATCGCGAACAAATCAGGGTCGTATTTATTGTAGCTGCGGGTAGTGATATAGTTTGGTGGAGATTTGTCGGTTTTAAGTTTTAGTGATACATACACAGGGAAATGATCGCTGATACAGGTTTCTATGACGCCGCTGTTGACTACTAGTCTTGGCGAGGATACGAAAATAACGTCGACGAGAGTCTGACTGGATTCAGTAATTCTTGTTGGTGATTTTATTAACTGGTTAAGGTTGAGTTCTTTTGTCGTCTTGATCAAAGACGCTGATCCAGGTGTGGGCTTAAGCATATCGCAGTTTAGGTCTCCAAGAAGAATGATCAACTTTCCCATCGTCAGAGCATGAACATAATTAGGTTTAAAATATTTTCGAAGCAGTCAAGCGGGCTGTCTGGGGGTCGATAAGAGACACAGACCAACAGTGATTTAGATTTTTTGTGCTGTAATTTGATCCATAATTGATGGAAATTCGTCTCGGAGATATAACTGAGGTCTTTAAGTACAAGAGATTTAATATCTTTTCGTATGTAAGCACATACCCCGCCCCCTTTCTTGTGCAGTCGGTCTAAACGATGTAGCTTATAACCTTCGATTTCTATTTCCTTGTTTGTGACGGAGGTATTTAACCATGTCTCTGATACTGTAAGGACGTCAATTTTGTTAAATTTGGTAAACTTACGTAATTCTAAAAAATGGGCGTTATTTTTCAGAGAGCGGATGTTTAGGTGGACCAGTTTGAGACCTGGAAGGGTACTGAGGCTGTTATCTGACTTTTTTGTTAAATGGGCTGAGGCCGTATCATTAGTGGTTTTCGACGTGAGTGACCACGAGAGTGCGGAAGCGTTTGGAGAGGCAGGGTTGGACAAAGGAACACGAACAAGATTTCTATTTTGCAAGTTATTGTTAACACTAGAAGAATTATTAATGGTTAGTTGATATGATAGTCTCTGACGTGATGGTCTCTGACGTAAAGTGATTCTAACAGGTATTTTCATCATATTGTCTGCTGCTGACTCGTCAAACAGGCCACTGGGTGGAGATGGGCCAACCACTCTAGAGAGTGGTGGCGGTGGGCTGTCCGATACGAAGGAATGACA